TTATATTCTCATTTTGAAAATGGATGTTCAAAAGTCGATTTAATGTTATGCTATGGATATTTAGTGGCAACCAACGGAGGATGAAACCATAAATTTAAAACTACATTTAAAGATATATAGACCGTTGTCATCAGAACAATTAGACCCGTCTAAACGTGGTGATTACGAAAATCCTGCCAACTTGATAGAAGCCACCCAACATGGAGCAAAATATTCGCAGGTGAGAAAAACATTCAAATTACCTAAAATTAATTTGGCAGCTGTGTAATTGTGGTGATGACTAAAGAGCAACGTGGTTTGTCTTTCCTAGTGTAGTAGTGTTGGGATCAGTGGTGACGGGGATAGTGCACGCAATTTATGGAGGGTGAGTGGTGCTCTTCCAACTAGGTTAGACATATCATTTTATTTTATTACGTGGATCTTACCTGATTAATTTTAACATCTTTAATAAAAGGAAACTATCACTCGATTATACTTCGTATTCCAGCACATTCATTCTCGTTCTTCTTTATTCTTAGTGCTGCGATATTACTTGGAGCTCCGATATTTTTCATCATAATTTCCGACCGAATTACATATAAGGTGCCTACGGGTAATAAGGCCTGTCGGCTAATAAGGCCTAAGTAATAAAATCGTATTTATCATAACCGCACTTGCTTAAGGAGATAATAACAGACTTCTATTGCGTGATAATGTTGTCGACATTTGCAGAGACGCGGTACCCCGCGTCCTGCCACTAGAGTTGCATTAGCTATCATAAGATACGACTGCACTGCACCAGTAATAAAAATCGTAGTCCAAATAAATCGTAGGTATGTATTGTAATATTACACTTAGCTATCTAAAATCGTAATCTTTCTCTTTATGAATAAATGCTTTGTCGATCTTGAAGATTTGAGTAATGTATCGTGGTCAAATTTTTTTTTAATTTTGTTTTTCTCGAATACTTGGTCGGCGGTTATTAAGGCCTACTAAATTTCACCATAGGCCTTATTATACTCCTTTTTCTTGTGTATTTTTTGTTTTATTTTATTTTTAAGATGTTATAAATGCTAATAAATTGTACGGTTTTATTATTAAACTAATGTCGTACTCAGAAAAAGGTCTGGTTTCAGCTGCCCAAACAGTGCAAAGACAAAGTGTGGCGAAGAATTAATAATCAGAAGCTATTAAATAATGTGTAAATTATTGGTCCTGCGGTGCTCTCTCGGACCGTGTCAGATTGCGATTTGATGATTATGAGAGAATAGAGGGTGCATAATTCTGTACTGTGTTGATGGGCTAGTCTCCGTTGAGACTGGCCTCTGTGACAGGAATTTGGTTGGGAGGACACTCAACCCAAAAATAAACCCAATTCTCAACTCAAACTAACACAGAACTCAACTCGAGACACAACCGATACACTGATGATAATCACGAGGAGTGAGTTTGTTTGTCAGTTAGTTCATCATTATATTAATGAATTTAAGTGCTGTTAGGCGAGGCAATTTATTTATTTTTTTGAATTTTAAACCTTAATTACTGCATTCATGTGAATATTAATCACAAATATTAAATATATTACGTATAAATTGATTATTTAAATTCGTTAAAGCAGTAGGCCTTATTATCAAAAAACATTTAACAACAAGTTAAAATTAGGCGTCCTTACTCTATAGAAATTGTACTAAACTAATGATTTTTATTAAAATCCTGTAGACCAAATTAGATATTCATTTCACTTCCCTATTCTTTGTAAATAACATAAATTCGTTGTAAATAACAGTTGTTTGTGCAAAAAGGTTTTTCTGAAAGAAATCGCTTCCAGAGCGATAAAATGGTCTGTTGTAGTCGCTCTCTCTCTCTCTCTCTCTCTATATATATATACAGTACAACGCCGATTATCCAAATTAATTGGGACCGGGGTCGATTCGGATAATCGAAAATTCTGATAATCGGACATAGACTGGTATGTAATACACATAGAAAAACGAACTGTCACACAGAATAGAATAAACTTTATTAAGTTTATAAATGGTTTTATACTTTATAAAGTTTTATAAGAGTAAAACCAGCTACATCCATTTTTTCACTGAACATTCGCGCCTTTTCACATAAAATCGATCCTGAAATCGGTTGTTCAATAGATCGTTAGTGAAGAAACCAAGTAAAAACAGCATTCTCAAGCTATAAACAGCTTTGCCATTTTCATTACTTTTCGCTACGAAAATCCATCACCACTTTCCAACGCAGTCACAAAAGTTAATTTTTTTTTTACTGATATTTTTAATATCAGTTAACCAAGTATTATATAAGTAATGTAAGTAAGTAATTTTACTTAGTGTACTTGGTTATAATTTTTTATATTACGCTTAGGACCGATTCGGATAATTGGCGATTCGGATAATCTGCGTTCTACTGTATATTGATTGATAGATTGATAGATTACGTAGATGTCTTAAGTCGTAAGAGACGACACTATGGGAAATGCTTGAAAAGACTTCTGGCGTAACCGTGCGTATCTTTTACGCGCGCGTATTATTTATGGCGCTGGGCCAGAAGTAAAATGTTTAGATCCCTGGCGGACGCTGATATTGCGATCGCAAATCTGGTTACCAGGCGTGACGTTTAATGCAAACCCTTCTAAGAGCAAAGTCCAGAAGCGCACGCACTTATACAGCGCACGAGTACGGGCTGATGAAAAGAACAATTATAATTAATTGTTATTGTTTATGATAACTAGCTTGTAGTCAACCGCTGGACCGTTGGACTTAGCTGCCGGCATTGATTACTATCTATATTGACCGTAATAAGAGCCTTGCGAAGTCTTCGGGAAGAGTCGGGGCGTTGTACTTGTCATATTTAACAGGAGCCAAGTTAATTTATTATACAGCAGTTGTAGAGTTGGGTACTAAGTAATGTACGATTCCATAATTCGACCTTTCCTCATAACTTATTTGCAGCGCTGCCAGGTGTAGTATGTACTCATGTGTATTTACTAACGTACGTACGTACTACGTTCTAAAAATTCTTGTTCAATTTTACTCGTATAGGTAGACTAACAACCCATTCTGAGTTCGCCTGAGTAGAATTTATTTATGTGGCGCCATTTATTTTAAGGCAATCATCAAAAACTATTTATTTCATGAATTTAAAAAAAATGTCAGAATTAAAACTATAAGTCTCTCTACTCTCTATCTGTTCACTTAGAGTCATTACAATTGGTTCACCCATTGCGAAGATTAACCTGGACAGACAGAGAGAGACAAAACTTTAAAAAAATGGCTATTCACGTCTTAACAGAATGCAAGTAACCTCCTCAGCTTTATAAAATTTCGATATTACGGACACTTCAATTTTATATACTATGTATAGATAGATTTATAACACTTCAATTGTACACCGAAACAAAAACATGAATGAAAAAGCAGAAAAATATGTTTTCCATTGTCTAAATGAGTAGTTCAATCTTTGTCGATTTGCTTTAGCGAACTGCTGAAGCTGTTGTTTATTAATATTAAAAATAAAAATTGTGAAACCTTGAAACAGATGATAACATTGTTTAGTGTCTTATTATTTTTTTATTTTGGTACAAACATTTAATATTAGTTTTAATTGCTCAATATAAGTATTATTAAAATTAGAGTTTAATTTGAATTTTAATTCCGACGCTTTGTTAAATATTCACTGAAAATCAAAAATAAATGGATTGACTGGTAGTGAATGCCAGACTTTGTATTCTTTAGTAACAGGAAATAACAAATAAGTAAAGAAGTGGTACAATTAAAAATGTTGTACACCGACTTCAATAAAAATAAAATGAGAACAACAACATAAATGTCGTCTAATACGCCTTATTAAATATAACTCAAAAACTATTGGTCAGATATTTGTCAAATTTATATTGGACCACATGAGAAGCACCAGCTTTCAAATAAAAACAGAATCATCAAAATCACCAGTTCACCCAGATATAAGTTATGCAGTAACACACATAAAAAATACAGTCGAATTAAGAACCTCCTCCTTTTTTGAAGTCGGTTGGAAAGGTAAGTAAGTGTCGTGCTGGAGTTGGAGTACTTTATTATAGATTGTTTTCAGAACGTACATAGGCAGGTACTACAATGAAGTAGGTGCCATTGAATAATGCTAGTTGAAGTACGCATATATTTCGGGAGCGTTCAGTGCTATGTGTTAGTTTTGCTTATGAATGGTAGCTATTTATTACGCATTCCGCAATTAGTTTTTGATTCTGCCAGCGTCGGCCGGGGCGGGAATCTCGCAACTATCCTTCGTTAAATTTATTAAAAAAGTTGATACGGACGTTGCGCCGGTTGGTTTATTTACGTCCGTCCGTGAGATGTCTGACCGTCACTGACGGCAACTTACAAACTGCCAAATTTTTATTCGCAACCGAAAGCACAAGTAACAGTTAAATTTTATGCATGCAACATTCATCGGGAATTAAAAATTTAAGCCTATAAATTGCATTAATGTACGGTGTCTCTCTACTTAAATTTTTGATTTTTTATAACTGTAAGTTTTCAAAAAAAAAAACCAGTAGAATGTTTAATTTTTTCACACACGAATTCTTTCGAGATTAAATGACACACAATCGAACATGTTTTAACCGCACAAGATGTACAGAGGGAGCTTTTCTCGAGTACATATATTTTCAAGTGTAACTTTTCACTGAACATCACAGCTTCCGCGTTCTATATTCTTATCATAAATCCAATATTGCTTAAAAATAAATGAAAGTTTATTTTCACAGATATATGTTTATTTAAGTAGTAACATGCACACTTCTAATTTGTTTCGGAACATTTTATCTGTTATTAAATATATTTAAATATCACGCAATATTAAAATATATTCGCATGTTAAAAATAAAAAAAATAAGACGAAAATTCGCATACAATTATATTTTATATTTACATAAGAACAAAACTAGAAAAAGTAAATTCGCAAATTATTTCTTATACAATTTTGTTTTTAAAATTCTTTATAACAACACTTACCTTTTTGTTTTGTCTGGCGGGCGTTAGGCCCACTTGGGAGCCCATCTCCGCTAAGATGTTTTTCGGCATGTTTTCGCACTGGATCACAGGTACAGGTACGCACAAAATTCGCGGACACGTGCGCGGCGTGCGCGCAAGATAGCGAGTGAGCGCAGCGGTGCGCACGCGCACTTATAACGCGCGCGTGACGTCACCCAACGCTGCGCCGCCTGTGCACCCGCTCAACACCACCAGCCCTAAAAGAGGTGCTCCCTACGATGTGTACTTCACTCATAACGTCGCTGTAGAATGAATACCTCGTATGTCAAAAAAGTATATTTTTTTTATTTTTGTAAAAACCGAATGAAAACCACGTATTTTAAAATACAGCAAAATCGTGAACCCACTGTATGACTACTAGTGCCATCTATGGAGTTAAACGAAAACCTCTTATTTGTTACTCGTCGGCCATCTTGTCTTCACAAGCGAGAAAACCTCGTAAATAGTGCATGGTTTCGGCGTTACTCTCTATTTTTGAGATTTTTAGTGAAAAATTGTGGATAAATCGGTGTGAAGTAAGTTTATTTGTATTTTTTATATTTCCAAATACACTCTGGTTGTATTTTTATAACTAAGGAGTTGTAGTTTAGCAATAAATATGCATTCGTTTATTTGACGCGATTACTGCAAGGAAAACCTCGTATGTCCACAGTAAAGCAAACCACTCAAGTGACATGCCAGGTTTTCACATAATATTTTAACGGCTTTAATTAATCAAACTATGCACTGCCAATAGTGAAAATAAAATGGTATCTGTCTTAGTTTATTTTCAATAACGGCTGCAAAAGTGCAAATACTAGGTTAGTTTTGATTTGACAGCCGTTTGTTAAAAGTTTCACGTGAAAACCTCGTATAGTTATAAATTCAAACAACATACGAGGTTTTCATGCCATGATTGTTACCGGTTTTACAGCTTTTCTTTAAAATATAAGTTAGTAATTTTAATTTTTTTTCAGGCAAAATGTTAAATAGAGGAAGGAAATTAGTGGCAGCATGTCTAAAGAACCATTCACCACCAAAAGACTTAATCACCCTTGCTGACTTAGAGGAATCACCGTCTTTATTACAATCAGATGTAAATATTGATAGACTTGCAGAATTTTCTGCAATAATCCCTTTAGAACAGACACTGGAAAATCCTCCATCTACAACAAATTCCAATCCTGAAAATGATTCCACAATCATACTATCCAAAATTCCACCATCGGCACCGTCTACTTCTGCTATAAATAATAATGAGAACACTGGAAATGATAATTTGCAGGTTTTAGAGGCTGAAGATAATACCGATTTCAGCAGCGATGACTCTGTGCAAGATCCAAATTTTCAGCCAAATGACAGTCCTGAAATTTTGAGGGAAATATCTAATCAACAACGAAAAAGAGCTAAACGGGGACGAAGTGATAAATCTCAATGGATGTATGAGCAACAAAAAAACAAACGAATGAAAGGTGAGGGATATCTGGGAAGAAGAAAAAACGAAGAGGGAAAAATTGTGTACGACGTTCAAAAGGCACCAAAAGAAATGAAACCTCGGTGTGAACATAACAAAAATGCCAAATTTTTTGAATGCTATAAACTTTCGGACGATTCAAGATTACAGATTTTTAAGCAGTTTTGGCTACTGAATAGGGAAGCAAAACGTTGTTTCGTGTCCTCACTTGTACTAAAAAGCGGTACTATGCAAAAAAAAACGGAAACCTCTGACTCTCGTAGAAGTTATTCGTATAAATATAATTTTAAAGATAAAGGGGCAACATTTAGAGTCTGTAAAAATATGTTTTTAAACACAATAAATATCGGTGAATGGTCAGTTCACAACTGGGTTGAAAACATTGTTGCAACAAATACAGTGCCCGTTTCGGACAGAAACAAGAACAGAGGCCAAGCAAATAATTTAAAAAAAGAGTTATTGAGAGAGTTCTTCCATTCCCTGCCGAAACTTGAGTCACATTATTGCAGAAAAAGTTCAACAAAACTCTACTTAGAACCCTATTGGCAATCCAAATCGGCACTTTTTAATGAATATTTAAAATATACAAAAGCCCACAACAAAGCTCATCTCAGTGCTTCAAGGTATACATTTTGGGAAGTATTTGAGGGCCTAAATTTGTCCTTATTTCGTCCAAAAAAGGACCAGTGTGACACCTGCTGTGGTCATAAGGTTGGAAGTGTTAGTGATACGGATTATCAACTACATTTAATTCGGAAAGCGGAAGCACAAAGCCAGAAAGAGAATGACAAAGCAGAAAATGATACTTCTGTTGCTGTATTTACTATGGACTTGCAAGCTGTCTTGCTTTGTCCATATTTAAAAGCTTCAGCACTTTATTACAAGATGAAGCTCAAAGTGCATAATTTTACAATAAATAATTTGAAGACCAAAGAAGGATTTTGTTTCCTCTGGGATGAATCTGAAGGCGGTTTAACAGCTGATGAGTTTTCAAGTATCATAGTTGATTTTATAATTAACTATATTGATAGGACAATCATTCGCAAAGTCATAATATACAGTGATGGGTGCACGTACCAAAATAGAAATTCTATTCTCTCCAATGCACTTTTATTCGCAGCTGCTAAGACAGGTATGGTCATAGTCCAAAAATATCTTGAGAAGGGTCACACCCAAATGGAATGTGATGCGATGCATTCCACAATTGAGAGGCAGATAAAAAATCGCGAGATTTATTCACCAGCAGGGTATGTTGAAGCTTGTAAAACTGCCCGTAACAATCCTGGTCCCTACAATGTCGTCCAGTTAGACCACACAGCCTTCAAAAAATACAGCTCTCAACCGTATTTTTCATCGATAAGACCAGGTAATAAGGTTGGTGACCCACAAGTCACTGACATACGTTGCCTTGAATATGAACCAGAAGGATCCATAAAGTTCAAGCTAAGTTATTCGGAAGAATACCAATTACTACCAAGGAAAATACATCAAACAAATGCTAGTGATTGTTTCCAACAGTTGTATTATTCAAAGTTACCCATAACTACGGTAAAATACAACCATCTTCAGGAATTAAAACGTGTGATTCCTCGAGATTTACATCCATTTTATGATAGCTTGCCGCATTTATAATTAAATTTGTTTTTGCCTTCTTATAGTTATTGTTGTTTACTCTGGGTATGTGCTTGAAAACGGACTTCGGTTGAGTTATGATTAGGTTTAAGAGTATTTTAGGTTATCTAAGCTTACGGTTCAACTGATATCTGTGAAAGAAAATCTTCCTATCCTGATTTTTTACCAAAACTTGTCCAAATTGTATCCAATAAAACATTATATTTTTTGTCTACAGCAGTGTCTTTACTTTTGAAAACCTCGCAACTTAGCACATATTAAAACAGAAAACCTCTTATGTCAATTTAACTGGTATAACACAGTTAATTAAGACATTGGTTAGTAATATAAAAAAGTCCTTTTTGTCATTCAATACATGAGACAAAAGCTTATAACAATATTTTAAACATTGACGAAATGAACTATTTTTTTCGTTTCCTGTAAAGTTTAGATCTCTGGACATACGAGGTTATCATTCTACAGCGACGATAAGTTACTTCGTTTGAGTTGCTAGTGATAGTAAAGTGGAAGAGTTACTCGAAACATTAAACCATCTTACTCACTCGTTCACATTCTCACATATACCCTCACATATAGGGTTACAAGAGCCGAGCACCACCATTAAAGACACAAGTTACCGTAATGAGTAAGGTTTACTTACATCCTTTGTCGTCCCACCATTGATAAAAGCATGGTTAACGTGGACAAAACAATATCGATTGAGAAACAAATGAAACAGGTTCCCTACAATTTCATATGATTAGATTAAAACCGCTATTCAGCTAACAATTGCTCGGATAACATATAACATTTTAGAACATACAGTAACCAATCGTTCAGGGATATCTCTCCTATTTTGTTTTAAAACACGTAAGCTGACAGTCAGACTCCAAATTTTTTATTACTCAAATATAATAAAATAATTTGTTAGACTTAGATCACTGCTTACCTAAAGTCCAACTAATAAAAGTCGAACGTTAACCACGTTCGTAAAATTGGCGGTCTAACCATCTAGTTAACGCCAGGCGTTAAATAAACATACCGGCGGCGAAAAGTGCGAAACGTTTGCTATTACGATCACCAATCCCCTGTCCAAGCATGCCGATTAAAGCAAATCTTTTCAACAATGGAATAAGCATATGTTCAGCTGTTTATTTTCAGGGTTTATGATGTTTGTGCGCCAATAATCAATATACAGTCAATAATAAGTATGTCAATTAAGTACTTGTGGTTAAGTGTTAAATGATATCTACTCTTTTTCTACGAATTAAGAAAATGATTTAAACAGTTACTAGTGCAATTATAATTCGATTAAAATTACGCATCGATTAAACTTAAGTATGCGATACAAATATATCGTAGTCAATGTCAAAAAATTTTTTTGAAAATTACGCCCTGTTAAGATGGTTTAGGGTTCGAGTAATTTAAGTGAAATTGACTAGACATTTTTTTACCATAGATAAAGTCCTACATACACATTATACCTACACAAACTATTAGGACTTCATTTTGTTTGCTTGACCTCATGCGTTTCTGCACCATAACGTTTTATGTTATTTATTTTACAATAAAAAATTACTAGTCGATAAAAGATATATCACATATATAAAGATATATTTCATTTTATTTACTATAGCTATATAAAAAAGAAAAAATAATTAAATGATTCAACTTAAAAGATTCAGCACCGGTTGAGAGCCAGATAATTTTATGGCCATCAAACGCCTTAGTTCACTTGGTTCGATATAAAAGAGATCAACGCCACGATCCTTTACTAATTAGTAGATGCAGTATTTCGGTAAATTTACGCGTCAGACCTAACCAGGCAAAATTTTATTTTCTACATGGAGGATACGTAAAGTAAAATTTACGGGACACTGAAATTTACAGGAATAGTTAAATTTTTCAAATACCTCCGAAGAATCAACGTTGCCGTAAACGATTTTAAAAAGATACACTGTATCAA